AGGAGGAGGAGAAGGAAGGAGGAGGAGGAGGAGGAGGAGGAGCCTTAGTAAATTTGGCAGAATTCATGGAAATTCCCTTTGCCCACAACGATACTGGCAAGGACATTACTTCCATGCAAATGAATCATGCATCTTAAAAATCTTCAACCCAATCTCAAATTATGCTTAACCAATTCAAGGAGGGTTGATTTTATTGTTCAAGAAGATAACAATAATGTTTATCCATTTTTATACCAAACAATGAACATAAATACTAACTAGTCGGTAGGTATCACTCTTCACAAGTCGGTCGCGTGGCTGAAAGGGCAGGCTACTAGCAGTCAGCTTTTGGGCAGAGGGATAGCTGGGACCTGGGGCTGAGCAGGAGACACTCTGCAGGTTCAAGTCGTGGCTTGCAACATTTATTGACGGCGCTGTGAATGTAGGCTGAGTTTCTCTACCTTTACAGTAGGGCCCAGTATACGCATGGAGCTGTTGGCTAAATTTTGTGAGTAACACCTATAAAGGGCTCAGAGGGGTTTGTCCTCAGGAAGGCTCAATAAACTTTAGTCACCCACCAGCTGATCATATCACAACACTTTCAAGGGCAACTTCACTTTATTTCCATCATGGAAAATGGACACTAAACCAACATCCAGAGACTGGGTCATCCCTGAGTACTTATTCCCTATGCACCTGATTTATCCAAGTAAAAATAGTACATTAACAGAGGGCTTGCCTGTTTCTACAAACACCCTTGCAAGGACAAATAGGAGATTTTTTTAGTTCTTTTTCCTACGAAGACAGGGTCTTGTACTGGTAGCTCAATCAAAGGCATTTCCACGACAGGGGAACAAAGGCTAGCAGCCCAACGTAGCAGCAGCAGCTCTACTGTCCTAGTGGTCGACACGCCAACACTGTCCACAGTGCTCGTAACCCACGCTCACTCGTGTGGCCTCCACAACCAGCTGCTGAAGATACAGGGCAGCGAGAACGAAACAGAGCGGTTAAGAGGCTTTTCTCTGGCAACCCAAAGAATTAGTGGCAACAGGAAGAAAGGAGCCTAGATACCTTGACTCTCAAACTCTTTTCAGTGGATCATGAAATGCATCTTCACGAACTACAGCTAATTTTTAAACATTCGAGCACATGCAGTAAACAGTCTGTCAGACCATGTTGTGGTGGTTCTCAGAGGAAGGGCCCCCGATCGGCAACATCCACTTTAGCTGAGAATTTGTTGGCTGTGTAAATTCTTGCTGAATCAGAAACTCCGGGGGTGGGGCCCACAATCTATTTTACCAAGACCTCCACGTGGTTCCCAGGCACACCAAAGTTTGAGAGCCACTCCCCTAGAACAAGGAGGCTAATAATAACTATATTATCTCATGTAATCCTTACAACAGCTCCAAGATATGAAATACTGTCGGTACAATCTTAGGGAGAGGAAACTGAGGCTCTAAAGGAGGAGTCAGCCTGTCTACATCACGTGGTCAGAGAAGATGGAAGGAAACTCACACCACTGTCTGCCGGACCGCAGAGGCGCAGCTCCTCACTCCGCTGTCCTGCTGCCTCTTAACAAGTATGACAGTCAGAAAGGATTTTACTAGAAAGCGTTCAAATCAGCTTACCTATAATTTCTACCCAAATAAGGCTATTCCTTTTCTTCACAAAAGACCTTCACATTTAAAAAAGTGGCTACCGTCTTCCTCCTACTCCCATCATGTAACGTAGGGGATGAGGTGTTAAAATACCCAGTTTGACAGAGGAAATCTGAGCTTTTCTAGAAAATGATCGGACAAAGACCCAGTTCCAGGGAGATCCAGGCTCCTATAGCCTCGGTCACTTTTTTTACACTGCTCCACATTTGGAACTGAAGAACAGTTTTGATCACTGAGTTCCTCAAATGATTGGCACTTAAATTTTCTAAGGGAGTCAAAATGTAATTGACTTCAATTTCCGTAAGTAGAACAAGCCCAAGGAAAAGGGAGTTGTTTACAGTCAGGCAAAGAGTTAAAACAATGATGAAGGCCTGAATTAGCGGAGGAAACCCCCTCACGGAGGGCTTGACAGCGCTCCTCCAAAGCACTTTTCAGAGAGCAGCAGGGGCCCTGCGGTTTCGCCCTGGGGTCTGTGGATGCTGGTCCCAGGACAGGGCCAGGGCTTAAGTGCTTGCATATTTCATTTAATGTTGCTTCTCTCTCCATCAATCTTACCTTGGGGTCGTTTCGTTTTCAGGGAGTCATGGGAACAGAACTGATTATAAACTGAAAGGACAGCAATTTGGTATTGAGATGCTGTCAAAGGGCAAATAAGGAATAATTTTTAAGGCTGGAATCGGGAACATTTAAAGGGCCTTTTTTCCTTAGCTCACGCGTCTGCGAAATGACCTCACTTCCAAGAGTGAGTGCAGAAGGGTCAGGGCAGTCAGTGCCCTTTCCCACCTCACTATCCTTGCTTCACCCAACAAACGTAGGGTGCAGACAGAACGAGACAGAGAAAAGAACCCATCATTGTTCTGAGAAAGAAAATCTCTATCATCTGCTTAACTGCATGTCGTCCATCCCCTTTGATAAATCATCATACGTTGTTATATTTTGTTTAAGTATCTTGGTGAAATGGTGATTAACTTGGGATATGTCCTCTCTTTGAAATGATTGTTAAGTCAAAGCGTATAAATTGCTTCCTTTAAACCGAATGGTCATACAAATAACAAACAGTGGCTGTGCCATATCCTAGAGAAGTGTGTTCACCTACGTTTTTACATTTTGTGGCACGTGCACGAAAGTACAATTCTGTAATAGCACACTGGTGTGCAGGAAAGAGGTTAAAACAAGCGGGGAGACCGGGACAAAGAGATTAACGTAGATCTCAGAAGAGCATGAGGATTTTTGCTAGCAAGCAGAGGGAGAGGCACTTGGCCACCGTGTGGATTTAGATTAGATGCCTCTTTTAGTATAATTTTAGGTCAAGGTCCTGCAAGGAAGAATTCCAATCAGTTGTGCTTTACTAGCCCTCAGTCAGTGAGAGCCCCCAGGAAGGTGAGAGGAGAGAGGTCATAGGTGGGTTTTCCTAAAAGCCATCTTGACTAAAAAGGCCACCAAACTCAGCTCCCTTTCCTAAATCTCTAATACCGACATTTAATACTAAAACTTTATACCGTGGGGGTGTATACTTCATAATTCAACCCAATCAAAAGGAAAAAGTTACCACATGGAAGTACTAAGAATGCAAAACATCCTTAAGGAGGCTACACTTCCACTAAGCAGAATGCCTGCCAATTTAAAAAAGGCACTGGGTAAGAATTCAGAAATTAAATCTCTCGGTTAGTTATTCCACAGGATGTCAGTCAGTCAACTGGATTGTTAACCCCCTTGCCCGCTGAGTTAGCTCATTTCTTGACTAAGCCAATTTAATTATTTTCGCTGTGTAGAGTCTTCTTCAGACTAACCAATAAAAACCCAGAAACTACCATTTTAAATGTTAAACTGCTAAATGATTCAAAATACAAGCATTTCAAAACAATTTCTCTCTCCAAAGCTTCTTCCTTTTTATCCTGTGGGTACAATGACTGAAGTGAAATGCTATTTTAAAAAAAATACAATTCTTCCACTTACGGAGAAAAAGGACATTGGAGTATGACGCTTTCTCAACTGACTTAAGAAAACAAAGAAAAAAATCAGCAAGTTCCAATTATTATACATACAATTTGAACTATAGGTTAAATACATTGTTTTGTTTCCAAAATAAATGGAAAACAATGGAGTAGGAAGATATTTGCTTAATTACGTATAGATGAGTAGTTCAAACACACACACGCACACACACCCACATCCCACGTATTTTAAGGAATCACCCAGACAGAACATCTACATAAGAGAAGACAAGAGTGGGTTATGAAAATTGG